TTTAAAGAATTCTTTTGCAGCAGATTTGCCAAAGGCAATATGTTGTTTGGATTCTTGACTGTTGCTTCCTTGAATGTTGATTGTGGATCCAAGTAAAATGCAATCCTGACAATTTCAATCTTTTCTGCATTTATCATAATGTTGCTTATTGGTTTGCTTGTGAGGATTTTTGTTTTCTTTATGTTGAGGTGTAATCCATACCGAAGGCTGTAGCCTTTGATCTTCATCAGTAAGTGCTTCAAACCTTCTTCGTTTTCAGCTAGCAAGATTGTGCCATCTGCATATCACAGGTTGTTAATGAATCTTCTTCCAGTCCTGATGCCACCTTCTGTCTCACGTAATCCAGATTCTTGCATTATCTGCTCAGCATATTGAATAAGTAGGATGAAAAGATACGACAATGACACACACCTTTTCTGATTCTAAGCATTGCAATATTCCCTTATTCCATTTGAACTGACTTTTGGTCTATGTACATGTCTTGCATGAGCACAATTAAGTGTTCTGGAATTCTTGTTCTGCACAATGTTATCCATAATTTGTTATGGTCCCCACAGTCAAGTGCCTTTGCATAGTCAACAAACACAGGTAAACATCTTTCTGGTATTCTCTGCTTTCAGCCAAGATCACCTGACATTTATAATGATATCCCTTGTTCCATGTCCTCTTCTGAAGCTGGCTTGAATTTCCAGCAATTCCCTGTTGATGTACTTCTGCAACTGTTTTTGAATGACTATCAGCATAATTTTACTTGCATGTGATATTAATGATGCTGTTCAATAATTTCTATGTTCTGTCGTAATGGATAAAAATGTGGATCTCTTCCAGTCAGTGGCAAGGTAGCTGTCTTTCAAATTTCTTGGCATAGACAAGTGAGCGCTACCAGTACAGCATCTGTTTGTTGAAACATCTTAATTGGCATTCTGTCAATTCCTGGAGACTTGTTTTCCGCCAATGCTTTCAGTGCAGCTTGGACTTCTTCCTTTGGTACTATTGGTTCTTGAATGTATGCTACCTCCTGAAACTGTTCAACATCAACCAATTCTTTTTGCTACAGTGAAAGATTGGGGCAGTTTATTTATTTAATATCATTGTGCTGTTTATATAGCTAAACAATAATTATGTTTACCTGGAATCTATTCCAACATTTGTAAGTTCTGAACTCCTGAACTTTGCTAAAATGTCATTATTCTAATATAAAAATCCTTTCATTTTTCACAGCTAAACTCATTCTTTTTTTCCCTTACATCTTGATGTTTCTTGCAGAGTTATCCAAGAAAAGCAGTACTCATTTTCTGGTGTGTGTACTAATTATCTAATTACATTTCAGTATAGTGCCTAAGGCATTTGACTGCTAACCACAAGGTTGGCAGTTCAAACCCACCAGCCACTCCATGGAAGGAACACTGGGCAATCTACTTCCATAAAGATTTACCACCTGGGAAACCCAAAGGGGGTCGCTATGGGTTGGAATGGATTCGATGGCAGTGATTTGTTTTTATACTATCTTCAGATTAATCAGGATGCTTCAAAACGCTATTGCTTGTACATGCCAAAGTTTAGAATTATTAGGAAAAATGCTTGGGGTCTTTAAATTCTTTCTAGAAATGTGGGGTAGATGCTGGTGATACTTACTTGAAAAAGAGGGCACATCCTTTTGCAGGGACCACACCATTTTGCTGAAAACTTAATCACCACAAGTTTGCATTCAGCAGCTTTCAGGAATGCTCGGAATTCATTCTGAAACCAGAACATAAATGAGGAAATGTGCAAAGTCACTGAATTTCATAAAGTCTTGCAGAGAATAAAATGATAGGTTAGTTCCTGAAAATCTTAACCAGGTGCCAGCTGACCCCACTTTTGCTAAACATCTCTGAGGCCAAATATATTTATCTTTACGAAAGCATATGCTGTTGTTTTGTGCTGTGGAGTAGATTCTGATTCACGGTGACCCACAGGACAGAGTAGAACTGCCCCACAGGGTTTCCAAGGCTGTAAGTCTCTACAAAAGCAGACTGTCACATCTTTCTCCTGCAGAGCAGGTAGTGGGTTCAAGCAGCTGACCTTTTGGCTAGCAGCTGAATGCTTAACTACTGTGTTACTAGGGCTCCTTGTAAGTACATATAAATGACTATAAATGCACAAAAAAGATTAGGAGTCTATTCACCAGCCCCCAAATCAGGACCAAATCCATTGTTGTCCAGTAGACTTAGACTCACAGTGACCCTACATGTTTCAGAATAGAATTGTACTCCACAGTGTTTTCAGTGGCTGTAATCTTTGGAATAAGTTTTCCTAGACTCTGGCCTAAAGGCTAGCAGTTCAAAAGCAGCCAGCAGTACCATGGGACAGAAGGCGTGATGATATGCTTCTGTTAAGACCCCAGCCAAGAAATCTCTAAGGAGCAGTTCTACTCTGTAACACAAGGTCTCAGGGAGCCAGGATGCACTCAATGGCAATAAGAAACAGCAATTTTAGGAAAGCAGATTGCTAGTACCCCATGCTGGGTACTATTATCATCCCTATTTACAGACAGGGAGCTCCAGTGGTGTAGTGCCCAAGGCATTTGGCTGTTAACCAGAAGGCTGGAGGTTCAAACCCACCAGCCACTCCTCAGAAGAAATGTTGGGCAATGTACTTCTGTAGTGATACTGCCTCGGCAACCCAAGAAGGGGTTGCTATGAGTCAGGTCTGACTCCATGGCGGTGTGGTTTTTTTAATTTGTTTTTGAATAGTAATTAGGGGAGATCTGGTAGCATAGAGCCTAAGGCATTTGACTGCTAACCAGAAGGCTGGCGATTCAAACCCACCAGCCACTTCTCAGAAGGAAGACTGGCCAATCTACTTCCATAGAAACGCTGCCTGGGAAACCCAAGGAAGGGTCGCTATAAGTTGGATTCGACTGGACGACACTGAGTTTGTTTTTCTGGTTGTTTTTTTGGTTTATTTACAGACAAGAAAACTGAAGTTAACTTTCTCATGGCCAACCAGCTGACAAGTGGTATAGTTGGGATTACTAATTTAGGCACCTTGACTTCAGAATCCATTTCTTTAACCACTGCACAAGATTATCTCCTGAACTCTTCTTAGTAATGGGAATCACTCTTACTCTCATTGGCCCTAATTGTGACATGGCCTCATCCAGTCATTGAGACAAGGGGATGGGGGGCAGATAAAATCACTAATTAGACTGAGTCATGCAAGGCCAACCACTGGAATTTGGGGTGGAGTTAATCCCATACATACCATAAACTCCCTATACAACAGGCATCTTGACAATGAGGTTGCCATTTGGTTTGGTTTCAAGCAGGTGAAACTAAGACTCAAAGAAGACTCACTAACATCATTATACACTTCACTTCCTTTACCAATATGCCTCTAACATAGGGGAATTCACCTTTTAGAGAGCCATGCAAGCTCCATTTCTTACTTGCTTGTGAGTCAGAAGGTAGATTCCATCCTCACAAGCCCACAAATGCCCATCACTTCCCAGTAGTTGTTACTGAGCTCCTGAGCTTGGCTTGGCTAATCCATCTTAAAGGCATACTCCCATAGTATAAGTATTTATTCAATATGTGCCTGTTGAGGTCTAACTATACCAGACACTGCACAAGCTGCTAGGAAAGAGCTGTATACAAAAATAAAAAGAAGAAAAAAAAGACAAAAACAGTATTTCCTGCCTTAATGGAGGAACTCTTAGATAGGGAAGCAGACAATAAGATCAGTAAGTAAAATATATAGTACGTTAGTGATAATTACTACTAAAGAGAAAAAGAAAGTAGGAAGAAAGGATAGAGGTTGGGTTGCAATTGTAGTCTGGGTGGCCAAGCTTCTCCCTGATGAGAAGGTGACATTTGAATGAAGAGATGAAGGAGACAACAGGCCCTCAGGAAAGGTTATTGGGGAGGAGAGGTCAGAGGTAGGGTAAGGCCCCAGGCAATTCTGTGGGATCTCAGAAAGTTAAAAAAAAAAAACAAAAAACCCGAAGTGCTGAAAGTATTAGTGAATGTGCGCCATTTTAAGATATTTTCTCATTTCTGCTATAGGACAATGCCTTTTTCTTTCAGTCTGGTCTGTGCTACTTCTGCAACCTCATCTGTAACTGTATTTGGGGGAAATGTCAACTGTCTAAGCGTACTCCTTCTGGGATGTGAGATGCAGGCCCCAGGCTCCCTCCCTCTCTTCCTTTCTGCCCTCCTGTAATGAAGCCTGGCATATGACAGTCAGTATTCTAATGCCCACTGCATTTCGTAAATAGGGAGGAAGTACCCAGGAAGGATTTCAGAGGCTGTAAATTTGAAAAGAGGCTTTGATTCTGTAGGAAGGTGCTGTGGGGTTGGAGGGAAGACAGATGCCAGCCATACCTGGAAGCAGAATCTTTGATGTGATGAAAGAAAGTGAAATTGTTCACTACATATTAGTAAGTAAGCACAAGCAAGCCTGTGTTTACGTTGCTCATTGGGTAATCTGACACTGCAAATCTCAAAATACAAAACCAAACCAAACCATTGCTGTCCAGTCGATTCCAACTCGTAGTGACGCTATCAGACAGAGCATAACTGTCCCGTAGGGTTTCCAAGGCTGTAAATCTTTATGGGCACAGATCACTAGGTCTGTTTTCTTGCAGAGCTGATGGTGGGTTAGCATCTAAGCACTTAACCACTGTGACACTAGGACTCCTTCCTCTTCAATGAGGGGACCTGGTGGTATAATGCCCAAGGCATTTGACTGCTAACCAGAAGGCTGGAGGTTCAAACCCACCAGCCACTCCTAGGAAGGAAGATTGGGCAATCTGCTTCCATAGAGACACTGCCTTGAAAACTCAAGGAGAGGTCGCTATGAGTCGAATCGACTGGACGGCAGTGAGTTGTTGTTGTTTTTTTTTTTAGTTTTAACCCTTCTTTTAAAGACAATTTTCTTACAATCCACATAATGCAAATTTAACACAAATACACTACAGTATTTACAGAGCATGTTGTAAGAGTGAATCATATATTATTAGCACAGGTAAGAACTAATTCTGAGTTTATAGACATACAATTGCAGAGAAATATAAAGATAACTATACATACTTTGAGATTTAATCCAACATTTATTTCTGATATTATATTCTTTAGATCCTGTTGGTATCATATAAGAACGTATTTCTCTTAAATAGACTTTAGCTAATAATTTAATCAGAAATATTTTTGAGGCAGTTTTATTCTTTGTAAAATAAGGAATTATCACTGCTGAATATATGTATTTAAATTTATTGTGGCAATAATATTGGACAATGGATAGAAAGGAATTGCTAATACTACTGACCATCATATTCTTCTCCCCCACTCCATAGGCATGTCTGGAATTTCCTCTCTTTTCCCTAGTGAAAAGAAAGACTGAATTCTTTCAACTCATAGGCTTCTCTGGGTACAGCTAAGGTAACATCTGTGGGATTAGGTACAAGACATATAGGAGCTGGCCTGGATCCAGGTAGAATCAGACAGGTAGTAAGAATCAGGAAGGAATAAAACCTTTTTTTTTTTATTTTTGGTCAATTTGTCCCTTGGCTACTGCTCTACATAGTGTCATCCTCCCAGGACCAACCTGAAGAATAAACATTTTTAAATCTTCCCCTTGGTACAGAGCAGCAATGTAATATTAGATAGAGAAGATCATTCTGAACATTTATCAAATCTATTCTTAAGATGGTCTGTTGAAATATTCAATGAAGCCAAAAAATACTTGCCATATTTTTAATAATCTGTATCATGATCTACACCCAGGAATTGCTGATGTCAATCTCTTGTTGGTTCTGTTGGTTCACTGTATCTGTCTCTTTTAATTACAGGATCCTAGCTGGAATATAAGGGTAGCTTCTCTATGATGTCATTAAACATGTCATCTCAGAGCCTGGAATCTGGCAGACTTTGGATCTAATTCCACTTTCATGCCATGACTTGGGCCAAGAATCGGAAAACTGAGGGCCTTGTATGCGTACTGTGTACTGTGTCAGGTTTCTATCTTCTCTCACCTATTTCCACATATTGTTGTCCCTTCCTCTTCAACCATCAAATGCGAAATAGGCAAGTTCATGTCAAATTGATGAAAGATATGTTCATTTAGGATTTTGAAAGGACTATTTTGGGCAAGTTGAGAAAAATATGAAAACCTCAATCCTATTATAAGTTTCCTGTAAGTTTGGTTTTATGAGTCACAGAGCCCCTAAACTTTGTTATTTTATTCTAAGTATTTAGGAGGTAAAGAAACTTCATTTTTCTAAACTAGATCAAACACCAGCAACCTTTTTCTGTAAAGAGCCAGATAATATTGTAGGCTTTGTGGCCACATTCAGTTTTTGTTGCATATTCTGTCTGTTTTTACAACCTTATAAGAATGTGAACACCATTCTTAGCTGAGGGGCCTTACAAAAACAGCAGCAGTTTGCTGTCCAATGCATGTGATAATTTGTCATTTTTGAAAATTAAGTGTAAGGAAAGGGCAACAACCTGGCCACAGCCAATGTTACTCGAGTCTCCAGAGCATTGATGACAACAAGATGAGTAGAATTCTACAATAAAACAAAAAACAGCAAGATCTTTCTTTTGGTTTTTCCATACATCTAGCCAGATCTCTCAGGACTAAAGTACTTTCCCTTCCCTTCTCAGTACTAGAAAAAAACCAAACTCACTGCCATGGAGTTGATTCTGACCCATAGCAACCCAATAGGACAGAGTAGAACTGCCCCACAGAATTTCCAAGGCTTTAAATCTTTATGGAAGCAGACTGCCTCAGTTTTCTCCTGTGGAGTGGCTAGTGGGTTCAAACTGTTGACCTTTTGGTTAGTGGCTGAATGCTTTAACCACCTGAACTCCTTTTCTGAGTGTCAGAGGAAGAATGAAGTATGAAGTATGGTATTGCTTGTATAGTCGGTCATAGGCCAGGTTTGTTTTTGTAATAGAAATCTGTCAGTTGGCTCTCAGCATCCATTTCTTCCATCTTTCACTGATAATACATTAATTTTTTTGGGGAATGGCAAGAAGATTAATTCATCTCTTCTCTATTTTAAAGAAGCTGTGCAGTTTGCACAGGAGCTCTGGTGGCATAGTACCTAAGACATTTTACTGCTAACCAGAAGGCTGGCGGTTCAAACCTACCAGCCACTCCTCAGAAGGAAGGCTGGGCAATCTACTTCCGTAGTAGTGGTACCGCCTTGGAAACCCAGGGAGGAGTCGCTATGAGTCGGATCCGACTCGACGGCAGTGAGTTGGGTTTGGTTTTATGCAGTCTGCACAGGATTAACCTCACCCCAAAATCCAGTGGTAGACCCTGATTATCTTAATCCAGTCAGTAACCCTATCCTCCTGGCAAAGGATTAATGAAGAAAGAACAAGAAAGGAAGAGAAAACAATTCCTAGGACTTGTGACAAGGAGTAGAATGGCTGCTAAGGGAAATGTTGGCAGATCCAACCCACCAAGCAGCTATGCAAAGGCATTTGACTGTGTTGATCATAACCAATTATGGATAACATTGTGCAGAATGGGAATTCCAGAATCCTTAATTGTGTTCAGGCAGGACGTATACATAGACCAAGAGGCAGTTATTCAAACAGAACAAAGGGACACTGGCTCATTTAAAATCAGGAAAGGTGCACATCAGGGTTGTATCCTTTCACCATATTTGTTCAAACTATATGCCGAGCAAATAATCTGAGAAGCTAGATTATATGAAGAGGAAGGAAGTATCAGGATTGGAGGAAGACTAATTAACAACCTGCGAGATGCAGATGATACAATTTTGCTTGCTGAAATTGAAAAGCCTTGAAGCACTTACTGATGAAGATCAAAGACTAGCTTTCAGTATGGATTACACTTCAACATAAAGAAAGCAAAAATCCTCACAACTGGATCAATAAGCAACATTGTGATAAACAGAGAAATAACTGAAATTGTCAAGGATTTCATTTTACTTGGATCCACAATCAAGGCCCATGGAAGCAGCAGTGAAGAAATCAAATGACTATTGCATTGGGTAAATCTACTCCAAAAGACCTGTCTAAAGTGTTGAAAAGCTAAAATATCACTGGAGGATTAAGGTGCACCCAACTCAAGCCATGGCATTTTCAATCATCTCAGGTGCATGCAAAAATTAGACAATGAAAAGGGAAAATTGAAGAATTGATGCCTTTAAATTATGGGTTTGGCAAAGAATATTGAATATCCAGTGGATTACCAGAAGAATGAGCAAATCTGTCTTGGAAGCCAAGTACAGCCAGGATTCTCCTTAGAAGTGAAGATAGTGAGACTTTATCTCACATAATATTTGAACATATTATCAAGAGGGACCAATCCCTGGAGAAGGACTTCATGCTTAGTAAAGAAGATAGTCCATGAAAACAAGATGGATTGACACAATGGCTGTAAAAATGGGCCCTAACATAGCAACAGTCGTGAGGGTGTTGCAGGACCAGGCAATGTTTTGTTTTATTATACATAAGGTCACCTGAGTTGGATCCTACTAGATGGCACCTAACAGTAACAACAATAACCAACCCACTAGTGGCTCCATGGGAGAAAAGTCCCAGTGATCTGCTTCTGTAAATATTTATGGCCTAGGAAACCCTGTGTTGTCAGATCTGCTCTGTCCTACAGGGTTGTTATGAGTTGGAATTAACTTGATGAATTTTTGACAGAAATTTCTAGAATTTTCTCTTTCTCCATCGGGATGCAAACAAGTAGCAGCTGGCAGCTATATTAAACCACATGTAAACCCAATCTTTAAGGCCCCAACATTTTAGACAGCAGTTAGGAGATGCAGAGGGACACTGGTAATGCAATGGCTAAGTGTTCAGCTATTAACTGAAAGGTCGGCTGTTCAAACCCACCAGCGGCTCCATGGAACAATGACGTGGCAATCTGTTTCTGTAAAGATTACAGCCTCAGAACTCTATGAATGAAGTTTCACTCTGTTCTGTAGCGTTGCTCTGAGTCAGAATCAACTTGATAGCATCTGGTTAGGTTTTTCCGGTTAAGGAGATACAGAGGAAACCTGGGTCTTTGGTGATATCTTGATCCCTGAATAAAGCTTTTCTGGAAGCCTGACCAAAGGCCAAAATTTTCAGTTACATGAGATAATAAATTCTTCTTCTTCTTTTTTTTTTTTTTAAAAAACAGATTAAGTTGAGATTTTGGATACTTACCCAGAGGCATTCTGATACAACATTATAGAAAATTTTCCACGTGGATCAAATTGCAAAAATTATGATTTAACCTCATCATTGGTGTTTAAATATTTCTCAAAAAAAATACAAAATAGGAGAGTAAAATCCAGCTTTAAGATCTAGCAGTTAACTTCTGGCCCCCACTATGTCTTGGCTCTAACATTCATTAATACTCTGAAATACTCATTTTTCTAACTGGTATCTTGGTGACCTGGTTAGTAGTCTAAACTCCTGAGTCTCTCTCACTACCTATCTTTTATCAAAGGAGAACATGGAAATGTGATGACCTTTGGAATCAGACAAATGTTATTTTTTCCCACTTCATGGAGTGTGAGAGGAACTAAACTTGGATCAAATAACCCAGCTTCAAATCTGAGTTTGGCGATTGTGAGAGTTTGAGCAAACTACTGCCAATCTAAGCTATTTTCTCATCTGTGAGATGGGGCTAATACCCACCTCATAGGGATTTGGTGAAAATGAACAGACTTAAAGTGAATGCGATTCCTAGCCCAATCCAACCAAGGCATGCATTCCATTTTGGCCTTCCATATTTACACTTTGGAAAGGACTTTCTTACCTTTTCAAGAGGAGTTCTAGTAGCTTAGTGCCTAAGGCACGTGACTGCTAACCAGAAGGCTGGAGGTTCAAACCCACCAGCCACTCCTCGGAAGGAAGATGGGGCAATCTACTTCCGTAGTGATACTGCCTTGGAAACCCAAGGAGGGGTCGCTATGAGTTGGGTCCGACTCGACGGCACATAACAACAACAACAACAACAATAACAACCTCTTAAGAAACAAAAAACAAAAAAACAAACCCACTGCCATTGAGTCAATTCTGACTCCTATGGAGCAGCTGGTGGATTTGAGCCACTGATCATTCAGTTAGCAGCCAAATGCTTTAACCATCATGCTACCAGAGCTCCTTAAAGAAAATAAAGAAAAACAACAATTCAGTTTGCTCCCTGGACTGGTAGAACTCTACATATGAAAAAAAGCAAGGTTTAAAGCATGGGTTGCAAACTTACTACTCACAAGCTCTTGATGCACATTGTATTGGTCACAACAAACTTGAATTAGTTGCTAACATTTATCAAATGGAATACAAGCGTACCCTAGAGACAGCTCCTACTCCTCCTTAGTCCTGTGTTGCATGATAACTGGCAGCAGGAGTGAGTAGTGGCTGTTTCCCCTTTCCAGCTGACCCTGTCGCCACCATCTCCCACTGCTTCCTGTGCTCAAGGTAGAGTAGCACACGCCATTTTTGTGGTGCATGTGCAGCTATTTTTCTTATATGACAATGTTGTGGTTACCTAGTGCTGCTGTGACAGGAATATACCACAAATGGAATGGCTTGGACAAATTAGTTTATTCTCCTACAATTTTGAAGGTTTTAAGTCCAAGTTCAAAGTGTTGGGCTCTACGGGCTGGGTGAAAGCCCTGAACCTTGGGCTTCAGCTCTGCCTCCTGCTCCTGGCCCACTGGAGCTGGAGGCTTTTCTTCACTCGGACAGCTGCTGGCTGCTGAGGCTGACAAACCCAAGATCAACAAGT